CGAGGCCAGGGCCGACTCCCTTTTTATGGGTATGCATCCATACCATTTGTTCATTATACCAAGTTCTGATGCATCCTAACCCCAACGAGTGCCATGATCGAAGAGATCAGCCCAACTTGCCCTATTGTGTGCCTACTCATGAGGAGCTGCTAACGAGCCCGCCTCCTCTGGAGGCTTTTGTTTCTCGACCAATCACAGTGCCCTGTCGGTATCAGTTGTCAGGTCGTCCAATACAAAGTTGGATTTTGTGCTTACTTCACATCCAACAATCATCAAAAACGAGAACACACCCCAAATGAGCAGTCTCCTGGCCATACATGGTGACACAGTGGAGCATTCTAATGCATGCGAGACGTCGAGCATCTCTAAGAAATGTCGATGCCTTTCATTGTCATTAAAGGTCAGCATGATCTTCCATCAAGTGCGTAATCGTCAGGCCTATCGATACCCATCCATCATTCCGACTTTCTTGACGGAGCAAGCCTCCCTCCACTCACATCGATTGAGAACCACGTGCGTGTCACTAGACGGCCTACGCTTGTGAAGCGATATTCGTTCCCAATAAGATGCCATCACCGCCTCCAGCTACCCCCGGCGGCGTATCATGTCGACACATTCTGATCTCAAATAATTTGGATGAATCAAGAGACAACATCTTTCCCTCGAATCGTGCCTGCTAATCTTATCTACTGTTCAAGACTTTGGGACTATTCATGGCATACTATGATTCCGCCTTACTGGCCGTAAAGTATAGCAACGATAGATTATTCGTAAGTTTATCGATTTAGTTCTCACTTTGAGCACGATTTACGAACGATGTTTGTCTAGTCGGGTTGCCCAGCTTTGAGTTGAAACAGGTCTGCGAGAGGGGGTCGGGGTGAATAGCAAGTGTGATGGGAACACACTAGATTTGCCACAAAAGGGCACACATTTTGACGAGTGGAATGTATTTTCGTATTAGAGTAGAGTTTCGAGACTACCAGTAAATCAGTAATATGAGATGTATTCACCCTATTTCGTTTAAGGTGATGAAGGACTAATAAAAGTAGAATTTTTCCACAAATGATATGAGTTGAGCTGACGTTTACATTGAATTTCACATAGCTTTGCTTTGCCAAAAGTTGTTTTCATCCAGACAGGAGTGGACTGCCGTTTCGACCTCGCATCGGTCTTCTCAACACCCTCAGCGGGAGTCGAACCGCGACAGTGCAGGATGGGAGCTTGACACGCTAACCACTTGAGTGGAATGTAAACAAGTGAGAAGTTGTGATAGGGTGGCAGTGGGATTAGAGGGTAAAGAGTAGATAGATAGACCAGGACAGAAAGAGGAGCGATAGTTTAACCGTTTTCGGCAGAACGTTTGTCAAGGGATTGACTTCACTTGTCTTTGACGAGTTCGTAGCTTTGTTCGGAGAATAGCAGCGCTCACTGATGATGCTGACTACGATGCCGGCGAAACATTTGAGAACAACGATATGAGCACACATATAATAGACGACAGGAGATACCAATATGAACCAGATGTAATTTTAGATAGTATCGTAAAAATTTAAAATATATAAAATGTAAGCTTAATTAAATGCTTTAATAGCTAATATTCCGATCACACTGTTACCTGAAGTTTTCCCCATAATTTGCAGTTATCGCATCCAACACAGTCCAAAATTCGAGTAATATTGCGGAAGTGTTCCCTAAACTTAGTCCTAATCCTAGAGGATTCATGTTGGTGCCCTCTAAATAGTTCCGTCTCATCAAATAGATTTACTTCATTCCTAAAAATAAGAATAATCTTGGTAAGACAGAGCAAGTATAGTAAGATCAAGTTCAACACAGAAAGTGATCAAGTTGAAACAAAATATGCATATTGAAGATATGAAGGCCAAGATGTTGTGGTCTCTGGTATGGTCGCAGTAACCGTTTTCGACAAAAGGTGTGTCGAGGGATTGACTTCACTTGTCTCTTTGACGAATTCGCAGCTTGGTACGGAGAATGGCAAAACTCACTGATGATGCCGATTACGATGCCGGCGAAACGTTTGAGAATGTACAAAGTCCACTATCTGATGCT